TTAAAGCCTCTGCCTTCGGCTCAGGTCATGATCTCAGGGTCCTGGGATCAAGCCCCACATCGGGCTCTCTGCTCAGCAGGGACCCTGCTTCCTCCCTCTCTCTCTCTGACTGCCTCTCTGCCTGCTTGTGATCTCTGCCTGTCAAATAAATAAATAAAATCTTAAAAAAAAAAAAAAAGCTGAAATAGAAATCTTTAAGGAAAGCTGTTCTCAAGATTCTGCACTGAACGAGTACTTGGCATAGAGGTCTTCTCAATTCCCTTCCAACTCTTTAAAGGGTCTATACATTTTTTTAATTTGTGGGAATGGGAGAATATGAAATCACTGGATTTTATTAAATCTACTTAGGTAGAGAATAAGGAAGACCTCACACTTCCTAATGTCTTAGGTTTATATAAATATATAATTATTTTACAATGGATTTCTACTTTCAGCTGATTTTTGCTATATCAGTTCTTTGGGAAGGAAGATAAAATCCAAATATGGTTTAACCAGTCTTTCCTACTGAGAGGTAAACATTCTTTAGTCTCTTTCTCACTTCTTACTTCTTTTTTTTTTAAGATTTTATTTATTTATTTGATAGAGATCACAAGTAGGCAGACAGGCAGAAGCAGGCTCCCTGCTGAGCAGAGAGCCTGATGCGGGGCTTGATCCCAGGACCCTGGGATCATGACCTGAGCTGAAGGCAGAGGCTTTAACCCACTGAGCCACCCAGGCGCCCCTCACTTTTTACTTCTTAGTGCCCCAGCCCATACCCACAAAAATCTCTCTTGTGCAAAACCAATCCACACTAACATGACCAATGTGGCTTGGCTAAGAGCTGGGTGTGAGATGGCCATGCTTTAACATCTGAGAAAGTGTAACACCTCTCTGTTCTCCATAGAAGGACGGAGACTCCAGATGTCAGGGAATAGCATCCCTAATCGAAATGAATGTGCCAAAGGATGACAAGAGATTTCTACAAGGAGAATCTGCCAGTGAAAAGGGCCATCTTACAAGCAGTTTCCCAGCTCCCTTCCCAAAGATTCATCTCACCCTCAGAGTTGTCTCACTCTGAGGACTTCTACGATCAAACTGGCCCAGATGAGCTCTGCCCCATTTTGAAACTACAGCCCAAGAACAGCCAAACCCAAACCACTTCCCTGGTTCCCGATAAACAGCTAAGAAAGGCTGGAATTTTTCTAATTATAAAACGAGAGAGAGTCTAGGAAAGAATGGGTGAAGAAGCGGGACTGCTGGGAACCCTACCATCAACAACACAACCAATCCATCATTCCTATTTACTTCTTCCTAACCGTTATCTGTGAGCATTACAGAGATATGCAGGAAATCAAGAGGAAAACTTTTTAAAAATAGAAAATATACTATATACTCTAAGAAAATTCAGCCTTACAAGTAGAACCTTCATTCCATACCAGTTAACTCCCTAGATACTCAAGCCCTATTTCCTTATGTGGGCTGAAAAGGGGAAAGTATTATACTGAATTATTTGTCCACTCTACATAGGGTAGCTTCTTTATCCCAGCAATCCTTTAAAAGTATATACTATTGTTGGGGCGCCTGGGTGGCTCAGTGGGTTAAAGCCTCTGCCTTTGGCCTCTGCCTGTGATCTCTGTCAAATAAATAAATAAAATCTTTAAAAATATATATAAAAAAGTATATACTGTTGTTTAACTTGAATCTAAATGAAATCTTGGAAGAAAAAAAAAAGTACATACTATGGGGGTTCCTGGCTGGCTCAGTTGGTAAAGCCTGAGACTTTTAATCTCAGGGTCATGAGTTCAAGCCCCAACTGGGCTTAGAGCCTACTTAATTTAAAAAAAAAAAAAAAGTACACACTATTATCTCAATTTTTAGGGGAAACTAAGGCTCTCAGAGACCAAAGAAACCCAGGATCACAAACAGCTAGAAAATCATGGAACCAGATTCAAATCCTAATACTAATCCTTCTGATTCTAAAACCTGTGGTTAAAGTCAAAAGACAAATCATAGACTGGAATAAAATATAAATCTATGACAAATGGTTAAAGTTCCTAACAAACAAGGATACCAACAAAATAGATCTCATAAAGACAAGTAGGAAAATAAGTTTGTTTTTGTTTTTTTTTTAATTTTTTAAAAGATTTTATTTATTTATTTGACAGAGAGCGAGATCACCAGTAGGAAGAGAGGCAGGCAGAGAGTTGGGGGGAAGCAGGCTCTCCGCCAAGCAGAGAGCCCAATGCAGGGCTCAATCCCAGGACCCTGAGTTCATGACCTGAGCTGAAGGCAGAGGCACCCCAGGAACATAAGTTTTTTTAAGGGAGATAAGACTTTCAGGCATTCACTGAAGAAGAAATGCAACAAACCCAAGAAAAACTTGAAAAGATGCTGAACTTTAGTATGAGTCAGGGAAAGGCAAATTAAAGTAATCAAATACTATTTCTCACCTATCATTTTGGCAAAAATTTAAGAGCGGTAACAGTCCATTCCAGTTACAAGGAATGGGCCAGTTTCTTACACTGTTGGTAGACGTGTAAACTGCTATAATCTTTTCCACAAGTAACCTGATACAGTATCAATGAAAATTTAAAATATACATTCTGGGGGTGCCTGGGTGGCTAAGTTGGTTGAGCGTCTGACTGGCTTAGGTTATGATCTCAGAGTTCTGGGATTGAGCTCCAAGTCAGGCTCAGCTCTCAGCAGGAGTCTGCTTGTCCCTCTGCCCCTCGCCCTGCTCAGGTTCTCTCTCTCTCTCTCAAATGAATAAATAAAAGTTTAAAAATAAAAATAAAATAAAATAGGGGCGCCTGGGTGGCTCAGCGGATTAAGCCTCTGCCTTCAGCTCGGGTCATGGTCTCAGGGTCCTGGGATTGAGCCCCGCATTGGGCTCTCTGCTCAGCGGGGAGCATGCTTCCCCCTCTCTCTCTGCCTGCCTCTTTGTCTACTTGTGATCTTTCTGTCAAATAAATAAATAAAATCTTAAAAAAAAAAAATAAAAAATAAAATATACATTCTGATTGACCCTACGTTATCACTTATCGGACTCTACTATCAAAAAAACAAAAAGCACCGATACACACATTTAAAGATATTTATTGTAGCATTGCTCATGTTGAAACAACAGAAACTGCTCATTGATAGTTCCTATTTGAGTAAATTAAAATATAGCCATATTTTTGTAACAAAGCTCATAACAAAATTTGAGAACAGTAAAATTATTTTCCAAATCAAATAAAGCCCTTAATCATTCTTTTGTTTCTTCTTTATAGACTATTTTCAATATATTTACATTTTACAGAAATAGTACTACATATCATGTTAGTAAGTTACTAATCAATACCCTATGAAAATGCCTCATTAAAATTCCATGTGATAATCTGACAAATTGTGTTTTTCAGAAGAAGTGTATCAATTTTTGGCAACTTTAAAAAGATGTAAAAGTTAATTTGGTCTTAAAATCATAGCATATAAATTCATTGACAAAATTTTTTTATTTTTTTAATATATGAATACAAAGAAAAAAATCTACAAATTTCATTCTTCTCCATTGATCAAACCATATTTTGTTTTAGTCTGCAAGAAATACTAGCCAAAATAATTCTACTTTTTAAAAAATATATATACCCTACTCAGTATTAATTTCCAGGAAAAAAAGGAAAAAAATAAAAAGCTTGAGGCATGTACACAAACACAAAAGAAAAGCAAGAAAGCTAGAGTGAAGGTTTAGAATTTTAACATCACATTCCTGTTCTCCAGTGTCCCTGTGTATCCTAGACTGTTTCTTCCACACTTGGCTGGTTATATAGGAATGAAATAAGACCCTGTTGACATGCTCCTGGTTCCCTAGGGTTTCCCCAAAGTCCCCATAAAGGCATATGAGATATAAAATCATGAATTTTGGGGTGCCTGGGTGGTTCAGTGGTTAAGCCTCTGCCTTCAGCTCCGATCATGGTCTTGGGGTCCTGGGATCGAGCCCTGAATCAGGCTCTCTGCTCAATGGGAGCCTGCTTCCCCTCTCTCTGCCTGCCTCTCTACCTACTTGTGATCGCTCTCTGTCAAATAAATAAATAAAATCTTAAAAAAATTTTTTTTTTAAATCATGAATTTTCCCATGAGTCCCCATAAAACAATGTCATCTGTCCCTTCTCCAATGTTCCAGTACACTCTATTATGCTTCTTATGACACTTAGTTCAAAACACTGAAGGAGGCGAACTTTGAAATCTGTGTCCGTTGTATATGCTATATCCCCCACCAGACTGTAGGCTCCTAGGCAGCGGAGTATGTAGTTCAGAGTCATACCCCGAGTCTGGGGGACACCTGAGAACTCAGCCAGTCCAACCACCCACGTAAAATCTGAGGGCTCTCTACAATACTTCATTAAGCAGAGAAGTTTGTGATGGGAGTGCTATCCCCACCCCATGGCAGCTTGTTCCTTCTTGGGAAAAGTGTAGCTCCTAGTAAAGCTCTCCTATAAATGGAATTAAGATATTTTTCTGTGGGCGCCTGGGTGGCTCAGTGGTTAAAGCCTCTGCCTTCGGCTCAGGTCATGATCCCAGGTCCTGGGATCGAGCCCCGCATGGGGCTCTCTGCTCTGTGGGGAGCCAGCTTCCTCCTCTCTCTCTGCCTACTTGTGATCTCTGTCTGTCAAATAAATAAATAACATCTCTAAAAAAAAAAAAGATATTTTTCTGAAATTTTTAAATTTAACCCCTCTCTTACCCATTGGTAATCTGTAGAATAAATCAGATCCCTTCTGCACAGGACAGCTTGTGAAATGGTAGAACCTTCATATTTTTCCTTCAAATCTCCTAACTCTGGGAAAGAAAGAGAAAAAGAAAGAAAGAAAGAAGAGAGAGAGAGAGAATGAAAGAAGGAAAGAAAGAAAGAAAGAAAAGGAAACAAAGAGGAGGGGAGAGGAGGGGAGGGAAGGGGAGGAAAGGGGAGGGAAGGGAAGAAATTGATAAAACAACCTTCCTCCATCACTCATCAGCGTACCAGGGCAGAGCATGGTAGTATATTCTCTAAAAGATATTTTACCGGTTTTTATAATATGCCTTTCATTTCACTATCTGATTTTAAGAAGAAATTTTCAGGAATACAATAATGAGAATTCAGAAATTTGCAACATAAATACATTCTTCTACCACAAAAGCTTTCTTACACCTTTAAGTTGTTGTCACCCCCACTGCAAGAGGACAGTTTCTTTAACGCTATTGGGATGACCCGAGTAGGCAAATCTGGGCTGGGACAAGCTGCTTCGTTCTGCCAGAAAGAGTCCATCCCCAAGGGGAAATTTCTTCTCACCTCCAGGATCCCCTGGGCTTTCTGGGCTGACTCAAGACTTCATATGCAGCCTGAATGTCCAGGAAATGCCTCTCAGCCTCCTCGGTCCGGTGCCTGTTGTGGTCAGGGTGCCAGATCTTTACTAGCTCCCGATATCTTTGATGTATTTCTTCATTTGTTGCTCCCTCTGAGAGACTCAAAACCTTAGGGAAACAGAAGCTGACGAATTAGAATTCCCTAAGTTTCAGAGCACCTGAGCCTCTCCTGCTTCTTTGCTAAATCAGGCTGTGCTATCTCTGGAGTTAGCTTCTACTGGCCTGAGAGAAAGGCCCAGAGCCTCAGATTAGAATTCCAGCATGGGCTAGCCTGGATCTCATGGCAAGAACCAAGATTTGCCTTGAATCACAGCAGCCCATTTTCTAAACTGGGACTTCACATCCCTGACAAAGGTCTCCTCCTTGCAAGAGAAATAAGCATATATATCCACCAAAGACACATACGAGAATGTTCACAGCAATTTGATCAGAATGGTCCCAAACTGGAACTAATCCAAATGTCCACAGACAATGGAGTGGATAGATAATGTGTAGTATATTCATACAATGGGATACTATGCAACAATGGAAACAATTTATCTGCATGCAATAGTATGAATAAATCCCACAAACATAATGTTGAATGAAAGAATTCAGACATGGCGTGTCTAGCTGGCTCAGTTGGTAGAGCGTGTGACTTTGAATCTCAGGGTTATGAGTTCAAGGCCCACGTTGGGAGTGGAGCCTACTTAAAAAAAATAAAATTTTATATATGTATAAAATTAACTTTTGTTTTATTTATCTTTTATTTTATTTATATCATATATATGATATATATATCATATATATGATATATATGTGATAAATGATATATATGATATATATATCATATATATGATATAAAAATAAAAGATAAATAAAACAAAAATAATATAAATAAATAAAAAATATATATATCATATATCGTATATATATAATATATATCATATATAAATAAAAATATATATATATCATATATATATCATATATATGATATAAATAAAAATAAAAGATAAATAAAACAAAAATAAGTTAATTTTAAAAAGAAAGAAGTCAGACATAAAAGAGTACATACTGAATGATTCCATTTATCTGAAATTCAAGAATGGGCAAAACTAATCTATGGTAACAAAAGTCAGAATAGAGGTTCCCTCTGAGATTTGAGTGGTGGTTACATAAATGTATAAGTACATAAACTTTATATACTTTATATATGTCTCAATAAAAGTTAAACAGTATATATGTATCCTTTTCCCACTCACTGTTAGAGCCTCTGTACCTTCACCCATTGCACACAGAAGCCCAAAGAAACCAGGACAGCCTTCTAGGGCCCGACCCAGCAGACATGAAAACAGTACTTCCACATAAGGCTGCATCATTTCCAATAAAGCTTAGCTGAACTCCCAGAGCTGCCCCAGCCAGGAAAGAGAGGGAACAAGGCCTTACCTGGTAAGCCAGCTGGCGCTTCTCATCCTGAAAACTGCTAACAAACTTATAGAGCTTCTCCCACTCCTGGAAGTTGCTGCTGCTGAAGCGAGGATCCCCCATCAGCAGCCTCCAGCCCCGGTAAGGCAGAAGGAGGACACACTCCATGAGGGGGCCAATGAGGGGAAAGAATCTGAACCAACTCAAGAAGGAGCCAAGGGTTTCTGCTACGTAGCTGAGGGTGGCAGCTGTGTTGCAAAAGGCGCTGTAGGCTAGTGGACCTGTGAAAGCCAGGTAAGCCAGGCCCAGACGATAGAGCCGAATGCTGAGCGTCTCTGACCCAATGGAAGCTTTATAGCGGCGATGCTTCTGGGCTGTAATGCTGGCAGACAAGCTAATGGGCAGAATGGCTATGGGGCGGCCATAGAAGAGAGGGGAAGTAAGAAATGCTGCCCCTAGAGTATTCTTAAAGTCTGTGGTCTGGTTGCCAACAGCAGCCACCAGCAAGACCCCTAAGCCAACTGCCAGTGGAAGGCCCACAATATAGAAGTTGGCCATGAAAGAAAGGCCAATGAGAGCCACCAGGCCAAAATAGATGCCCACTATCATCTGGGCGACAAAGCGAGTAAGACTCAGAGGGGGTGTCCTCCCTTCCGATCTCTGCCTCTGCCCCTGGGTTCTGTTGGCCTGAGCTACAAAGCTTGGGAGCTTCCAGAATTCCCAGAGCCAGCCCAGCCCACCACCCCCCAGGGTAAGCATCCAGAGCAGTGCATGACTGTCCCGCCCCAGGTACAGGTGGTGGAGCCCAGCAGGGCCCCCTACAGCCCAGAGGGCATAGGTCACCAAGAGCCCCTTGGCCATCCTCTAGGGAAAGCGTGTCAGATCAAGTTCAGTGGCACCTGACATTGCCCAGAATGCAGAAATCTGGGATCATCTGTGAGAGTCATGGCTGTCATGGTCCCAGAGTTATCCTTAGACCCTAAGAGATGGGAAAAAGCAGTGGTAAGACTATATCCAGATCCCAACCCAGTAAACCATTTCTCCTTCCAATAAGAATCAAGTGCAGATCTTCCTGAGTGTGCCTGAAATGCTGATTCTCCCATACCCTTTGATCTGGCCCCTCATTTCTGTTTTCTTTACAAGCATAGCAACTCCAAATTTAGGAGTAAAATTGTTTTTAGATGCTTTCAGTTGTGGAACTCAGCACATGGACAAAAAAAAGCCGCAGCTTAAGTTTCAGACCACTGATTGCTGGAATGGCTTATGGGGAATGGAGTGAACAGGAGTGAATAGAATGACCTTCTAAAGTTCCTACACATTTTGAAAGTCCTCTACCCCTCCCAGCACTCCTCACCGTCACACTATGGCTGCCCTCAGACACACGGCCGAGGTTTCAACCCCTCTCCAGCCTTCCCATCACTCCAAGCCATGCAATCTTCCCACAAGTCACACCTGAAAGAGGTCCTGAGGTCCCTCCACTTAACAGCTCTGGAAAACTAACATATTTTGATCTAGACCCTGGCACCACGCAGAGACGGACTTCAGTCTCTACAAAGAGGTCTGATGAACACCAAACCAGACGCCAACATGTGCCTGCCAGTGTCTCCCGCTACGCAGAGCGGGCCTCAAGACCACCAGCCAGTTACCCGCTAGTCCCAGGGTGGGCGGCCGTACCTGGGTACTTCGGCTCCCAGACCCCGTCAGACCAGTTATTTCCTTTAACTAGAAAGTCAAAATGGCCCCTCTCACTCCGTTCCCACTCGCATCTAAATGGACTTTGTCTTTCTGCGTTTGCTGTGTCACGGAAGTGGGGCCGTCCGGGTCAGGCCCCTCCCTAAACACCCTTCTCCACCCGCCCCAGCCTCTTCCGGATCACCTTTCGGCCTCTGGACTCCTCTCGCCCGTCCTTTAGGGAGAACTAGGTGTAAGCCTTTCAGGGCTCATGCAATCTCCCCCGGCTCAAAAGGGCTGGCGCAGCGCGGCACTCCAGGCCCTGCGCGCCCGCACGGCGGTACCGCCACCACGAGGTGGCGCTGCCGTCTACGGAAGGGCGGGGTCGGGCGGGTCTCCACACTCACCTTGTCCAGTTGCCGGGGCAAAGCCTCCCAAGAGCTGTTCCCTATAAACGCAGAAATGGGCCTTGATCGCCCCTTTCCACCCCTACAGATGAGAGGGTGACTTGTCTTTCACCTCAGGGTGTGCTCTCTTCCTACTCAGTTGTCTTTCAAGACCGCCTTGCGTGGCTCCACTTCCAATTCCTCTAAGGCTGACTCCAGCCCCCAGAGTTTGCCTCATCTGCCCCACCTCCAGGCCTGCCAGTAAAGGGGATTACATCTAGACCTGAGCCTGAGACCTGAGGGGCCTCCAGATCTTGCGGGAGCCCCAATTCCGCTATATCCTGAGGCCTATGGGCAAGAGGCAGAAACAGTAGCAAAAACGGATATGGGGTGAGGGGCGTCCCAGCAGGAGAGCAGAGCGAGAGCGAGGCCGCCGCACCAGAGCAGTCTACCTTCCTCCCACCTCGATGCTGGGAAGGAGCTGGGATGCAAGATGCCTTCGCTTCACTGACCTGGGCTCCAGTCCCTGTTCTGCCCAATGACCTTGGCCAAGTCACGCCGCTTCTGGGGCCTGTAAGGGGAGGGAAAAGCTTGGATCTCCAAGGTCCCCCAGCCTTGACTCGGGAGTAGGGTGGGCCTGGTGGCCCCCACGCCCGTCTCCTCCGTGTAGCGGACAGAGTGCTTCTGTTCCTCCACACCGCCAGCCCCCCCGCCCCCCCAGCCCTTATCCCGGCCGGGGGAGAGACCGCGGCTCGCCTAAGGCGCCTTAGGGCTCACTGAGGGGCCAGGGCTGGGAGGGGCCCCACAGCGACGCTGGAGCTGCCAGCTGGGGGGCGGGGGCGGAAGGCCGCTGAATAATGAATGAGACTTAATTGGGCCGGCTCTGCAAGGCGGCGCGCTAAGCTGGGCAAACAGCTCGGGCGGCGGCGGGCGCCGCTGGACAAACAAACTCGCTCCCCGCGCTGGAAGCGGGGTGGGGGAGACAGCGGCGGAACGCGGAGGGAAGGGGTAGGCCGCCTGGCCCCTGGTGCGCAGCGCGCCGCCAGCTCTGAGGCAGGAGGAATCCAAGACTGCTGGGCGGCGCTGGCCTCCCAGAGAGTCGTGGTCGGGGGACCCGGCTCAGGGTTCGATTTTAGGCAGCGAGGGCTGGGTGGGGAGAGAAGCGCATTGTGCGGGGGGAGCCAGGGGCCCAAGGGCTACAGGAGTAGATGGAGAAAGGAATGCAGGGCGGAGGAGAGAGGGAGAAGTGAGGGAAGAAAAAGCGCACCGCGGGAGGGGCGGCCGGGGTGGGGACGGGAGAAGAGCCGTTACCGAGAGGAAAGGGAAGAGCGATGGAGGAACAAGCGAAGGGAGGCGCGAGGGGCCGGGAGAAGAAGAATTGGAGAAGAGTCAAGGAGAGGGATGGGAGGTGACCGGAATGAGAACGAGAGGGCGGCGGGGCGGGCAGGAGGCGCCCCTGCCGCCGCCTCGCCCCGCCGCTCTCCCGCCCTAGCGCTCTCTCCAGCCGCCCGCACTCACTTTGTCACAATTACGGGGCCGTCACTCGGCCCGGATTGTTTTCCCCAAATTGTTGTTCTATAAACTGGCGAGAGGTGGGGAGTGGGGGGATCTGACAAGCTGAAGCGGGAGGGGAGGGCCTGAACGGCGGTGGGGGACGCGGCGGAGTATCAACCCACAAGCGGACCAGGGAGGGCAGGTGAATCCAGAGACCCACGCGGGAACTCTGGTCGGTGCCTCAGCCTCGCTGCCCATCCCGCTTTTAACCTTCCTGGACCTTCCCAGCTTTGGCTGCCTCTGTTTCCCCAACAGAGAACTGGGAGGATTGGAGGGCAGGGGCTGCCGAGGCGGTTGTAGGTGGGGCCCAAACTTCCCCGCTCTCCCATTCTCTTTTGTTCTTGATACCCGGGTCACAGCAGAAGGGGGTCTATCCCAGCTCGGCAGTCCCCAGAGCGCCCCTCGGGTGTCTGCTCAGTCCCGCTGGATGACCGGACTCCCACCCGCCCCTGGGTTAGTCCACCCTTTGCCCCGCCCGCTCCCTCCAGCCGCTCGGTGCCCCCACACCACCTTGTCCCTCAACTGCGCAAACATCTGTTGCGCGCCCACTGTGAGCCGGAGCCCCACCAGCCTTCCTCCCCCCCCGCACCTCTCCCCCGCCGCCCGCCCCTGCCGGCCCGCCTGGCCTGTCGGCTTCGTGACAGCCGCAGCCGAAGCCCAGGCCCCGCGGGAGCGGCCTGAGAGGAGCCGCCGCATGGCTGGCTCCGACACCGGCCTCCCCGGCGGCTCCAGAGGCAACGGAGGGTGGCGGCCGCTGAAGCGAGACCGGAGCCGGCCCGCAGACTTGGCAGAGCTGGGAGGGGGAGGGGGGAGAACCCCTGGGCGGGCCTGTCTCCCCGTCTCTGAGGCCTGTCGGTCTCCTCATTCCATTGCCCTGGGGTCGGCCCTGGACAGGAGACCGCCTGGCTCCGCGCGCCTGGGACGCTTTGGCTCCGGTGCCCCCTCCCCCAGTCCGGGTGATTTACACGCGGGCTCGGCGCAGCGGCCGCTTCCCAATCAGGAATATCGACCCCGGGCGGGGCCCCCGGGCCGCATCGATCCCTCTAAGGCTCCGGATTTAAAAATGTCAAATTTGCCTTTTCCAGGCGGGTGGAGGGGCTTGGGAGGGGGTGCTGGAGGAGGGAGGCTGCGGGGGTGGGGGCGGACAGCGGGGCATCGACCAGGTGCTTGTGCCCAGAATGAGAAGCGACCCGGTCTTGGCCATCCTAGGGTTGCAGTTGCCTCTAGATGGGGGCAGGAAGGAAGCCCTGATCCCTTTCCCATTCCCATGGACCTCACCGTTGCATTGGCATATCCCCAAACAGAGAAGCCACAAAGGAACAAAGACATACCCCAAAATGTAGGGAGACAAATTTGGAGGCGATCCCTAAACATGGACACAAGAAGAGGTACAGAAACAAAGATATAGAGGCTCAAAGAGATACCCTAGCTATGAGGAAGAGCAAGGCAAAGGGAAGGTGGCTGAAAGACACATAGAACAAAACGGGAGATCAGAGATCCAGAATCTTCCCCAACTCTGCCCTATAGACCCAGGAGATTCTGGACTGGAAAAGAAGTCAGGCTTAACCTTTTGGTGTGTTTGAGAGTGGGGGAGGACAAAGCCAGGTGAAGGAAGAGTTATTAGAGAGAGGAATCAGACTAGAATTAACATTATTCTCCCAAGGTGTCAACTAGTAACTGGACCTGAGGAGCAAAAGATAAGGGTCTGAGGGGCCCCTAGCCCAGGCCCCAAAGAGGTGGGTTCTCTTGGGAGTCTGATGGTCTGACTGCTGCCTGAGACCCACCTCCTCCTCTCTGACCACCACCAGACTAGGTAACCAAGATGTGTTGGAGATCACATCCTGTATGTGATGAAGACTGTATATGTAGGGATGTGGACTATGGAAAACTCTAGTAGCCACTTCCTTCCCCAGGACTCAGCAGCTGGGTCTCCAGGCTTTGGAAGAAGCATCCATTACTTTCAGGAAGCATAGGGAAAGGGTGATATTTGGGGTGGAGATGATGGAAAGGAGCACTTGTCCAGACCAGCATCCTCACAGTTAACATCTATCCCCCCCCACCCCCACCAGCATACCTCAGCTGTCACTGTGCACTCTGCCATTTCCTACAGAACTGGAGAGAGAACTGACAGCAAGTAGTGGGGGGGGGCATAGGGACAGCACAGACACGAAAGAAGACGCTGCAGCTGATCCTCACACACACACAACACACACCAGCGCTGACAAAATCAGGTCAACACATTCCTAAAACTGACCTACACTGTCACTGATTTCCACGTGTGATTCACACTCATCAGTCCCTGTCACCCACGCCACCTCTGTGTGCACAGACACAAACAATTCCTCCCAGGCCAGGCTGAAGCGCCCAGTCCTAAACGTCCATACACTTTCTTGAGGTTAGACCTTAAATCGCCTAACCCAAGGAGAGGGCTTAGGTTCTCGCCCTCGCTCCCCAAATTCTACAACCAGAGCCAGCTCCAACGCCTGAGAGGCCAAGCTCAAGGAAGTCAAGTACCGGGGTCGAGGCGAGGAATTGGGAGCTGACCTGTCGGTGGGGCTATTAAACGCCTCCCTGACTCTCCCTCCTGCCACTGGCCTCTTTCCCGGCACGTCCACTCGCTGCTCGCCGGGCCCGCCGTCCGCCTGTCAGTCGAGTAATGAATGCGCGCTCCGGGCCCCGGGCCCCCCCCGGAGTCGTTCATCACTGCCAGCCACCGCCCACCTCTCTGCCGCCCGGGAGGGCTAAGCGGCCCAGGCGGCGAGAGCCCCTCTCCCCCCACCTCGACCACTAATTGTCAGATTGAGATGTTGATTTGTCAGCTGGGAGCTAGCGCCAAAGAATCCGCAGTAAAACCCAGACTCCTTGAACTTCCTTTCGGCGGCGTGCGGGTTCGCCCAGCCTTGGGCTTTTCTGGATTTGACGTGGATGGGTTGGATATCACTTAAGAGATGGGGGAGTAGGAACGCAGTATCACTCTATTCCGATAGGAGGAGCACCAGACTACAGACCCTCAGTTTCCCTAGGATAGCTCGTCTTGGGCGCAGTTCCACCTGTACGGACCGGATGCCCTTAGGGCTTCGTCCCTCAGTCTCCCAGCAGGGGGCGCCTGGCCCACCACCCTCTTCCCTTCGGCAGCTAGATCCCTGCTTCCGCACTGGAAGCCCCCAAGGC